GGCTTTATTCAGGTTATTATGCCAAGATAGCCTCATGAGTGCAGTGATGTTCCCTGGCCACAGAATTTGTTCCAGCACCCCCATTGCTCCCAGCAGCACTTACCACAGTGCAGAGACCAAACAAGTGCTCAGCATGTAGTGTCTGTGGTGCTGAGAGGCCTCAGCATCCCTGGAGCACATCTAGCAAGTGCCCATCAGCATGAGGAGGCCCTGCTGCCAGCCTTCTCCACCTTCCCTTCTGTCCATTAGCCTTTTGTACTGTTTAGTCCTTGGTCAGTGGTTATTGCTTATTCATGTGTGATGTCTGGTGGTAGCTTCCTTAGCACTTACCTCTACTGCCTTGTCTCAACCCATCACACCTGCTGTCAGTGCTGGTGTTTCCACTTGATTGCTCCAGGTCCTATTTCAGCAGGTTTTTGCAGCATTTTAGAAGGTTCTAAGACTTTACACTCATAGTTATTGGACAGCTGACTATCCCTACTGAGTCAGGACTGGCACCTAGGCGTAGGACTAAGGCAAGTTTCCCTTCACTCCTGGTTGTCAAAGTTTCCTCCAGACCCCTATGACCCTCTTCTAGAGAGTGTTTGTAGTCAAACTGATTACACTGATTCACTAAGCAGCAGAAAATCAGTTGATTGCAGGGGTTGGAGGTGTTCCTAAGACAGTGCTAAATTATAGAAGCAAGTTTGGGGTACCTTGTCAGTGCAGTGTAAAGCTGCCAAAAGAGCATCACTACTCTGTTCAGGACTAGTTTGGGGCTCCACAGGCAGAGGGGGTTGTTGCTTACAGAAACCTGCAAAATCTCACTGAGTAGACCAATAATGCAGCTACCATTGTGTTGATGTGGTGTATCCATATAACCTGTAACAGCACATGTTGTAGGTGGGCAGACACTGACAAGGACCAAGAGGTCCAGCACATTTTCTCTGGGGGAGCTCTGTGCTCACTGTTCCCACTGTTTCCTTATATCACCTTTTATCACCCTACTATCATGCCTTTTGTCTCCTCTGGTGATATAATCTCCAAATACTGGGGATCACTGCAGGAGTCCTATTGATAGATTTGAATATCTGTAGGGAATAATTTCCAATTCCCTGGGCTAAAAGGAAAGTCCACCCTGGAGACAGAAAATTTGAATTCATCTTACTCATAGTGCTGGCATTCTTCCCAGTGAGTTTCCCAGGTATCTCCTGGCATTGCAACAAGGGATGAGCTGAGCAGGGATACCCAGCTCCATCAGACACAGCTTGGAATAGTTCTTGCATGGTTTGTGTTAGAGCCTCAATAAGATTAGCAGAGTGAGTCATGCCACCAATGACCCCATTTTCTGGGTGCATCTAGCCCATGCATGTAGGTTGGGTTCTTCTAGCTGGATACACTGTTGGATTGCTTATTTGGTCTACTTTTTGCCTTACTGCTCCCATCTTCTGCAGTGTTGACACCCCATGCCTGCATTAGCAGCATTGCATGGGTTTCTTCTGTGGTGTGATTCCTCCACCTGAAATGTCATGTCACCGCACAAAATGCTCTCCCTTGGTAGCATTAAATCCCTTGGTGCAGCTGGGGCAGTGATCACCGGGATAGATGTCAGTGTGGGCTTTTAGCAGGGACACAGTCCACCACATGGGCTTTTCCTCCTCTTATCTACCACACCCCGGTGTATACTTGGACTGGCTTGGGCAGGACAGTGCTTGAATTCTATAGCTGTCAGATTAGTATTTAGCCAAAGGAGACTCCTGCATGTAGCACTCTCACAGGGGTAGGTGGTATTTTTGCATCTGAATTGCAAGCAGTTTAAATGAGGTGTGCCTAGTTGGATTGTTGTCTCTTCAGGGAATCCACAGTTTTGTTTCTCCCTTCTCAGGTGAGGGACACTTACTCTCCTCACTGCACTGGCACTGTACCAAGCTTGAGATAAGTATGAGGCTGAAGGCTGCAAAAAATAACCTCCACATATAGGTTGGTTTTCCCTGTGAAATTCTCCTGTCCCCTTCCTGATGGTTGATCATTGCATGCATTTTGTTCATATGCTTCCCTGACTGTTGTGTTTCACTCTCCATAGCCAAGGTGTCCTTGTGTCCTACTGTTGCTACAAGGGTTGGGCTGGGAACATGTGACAGAGATGTGGGCTGGGGGAATGTCCCAGTAGTGTCAGAGGGAAAAATTGAAGGTGAGAGTGGAGAATGGCACAGCTAAAGCCATCTCCTCAGGGTTACATCCTTCCCTTATTGGGTTATGAACTAAGAAACCTAGTTTCTGGATAAGAAATCTAGAAACTACTCAGTCCCAGAGCAACAAGTGCCTTCTACCAACTCCTTTCCATCTGTATCTGTGCCAGGGCCAAACTTGTACTTCAGCAGTGAGGGTTAGGTCGGCTCCATGTCGGTCATCTCTTTTGATTGAGTCTAACAACAGGCCTTCCCCTCCTTCTAGCTCATGTATCACCTTGACATGGATCTTGCTCAGCAGGGCAATATTCATATGGTGTAGGCAGACCAGCCTGTTCTGCAACAGAGCTGAGTGGTGCATCCAATGGACACATCCATCCAAGCAACCTCCCCCAGTAGGTATGGCTCACAGTGGATATTTTGGTCACTGCTACAGAAACAATGACAGAGGAGTGCAAGAAGGTTGCACTTACCGCTGGTGCCGCAGGAATATGGGGCTGGGTGCAGGGCCCTGCCTTGTTCAAGTTTCACATAGCTGTATAGATAGCAGCCATCCCTGCTTCATGTCTTTGGACAGCCACTGATCTGTGAGATTGTTGTCTTTAGCATGGATATCTGTAAATCAAAGTATAATTCACTTTTTTCAGTTCCGAACTCTACAGATTATAGCATCCCACTTCCCTTGTGTCATCCTCATTATGTGAAGTTACAAGATTTCCGGTCTTCATTATCACCATTCTAAACTATTTTGCTGGATCCACCCATTGTTGCTGTGGGAGTTAGGTGCTGAAAAAATCTCCCGGAGCAGTTAATTAGGGGTGAGATAAGAAAGGGTTTATTATACCAAGGCAAAGGTGTTACAAGATGCGCAAGCCGTGCCTGAGATGTTACATTTTATAATACCATCCATCCAATCCCAGATGTGTTCACCCTGTGGCCTTTACTCTGGTCTGCCCTGGGTCCACCTCCTGAAAATGGGTCTGGGGGCTTTTCGGGACCCCCTGTTCATCCCATCCTCATCTTCATCAGAGCACAAAGGGTACATAGTCACCCAGTTTTTGACCGTGTTCTGTGGTTTAGGCCAAGATAAAAGCATTCTCCCAACAATCTGGGCCTTGCCTTGACAAAAGACTAAACATTTCTGCTGTATTTGGGGGTAGGAGTGATATAGGGAGCATAGAATGGGGTAAGAGGGTTAAGGAATGTGTAAACTAAGGGTGCTAGAGGGAAAGGGACAAGGGATGAAGGGTTGCTGCTTTTAAAATCCACTTATAAAACTTATAAGGCTTACCAATATTAGAAAAATAAAAAAACATTATGGGCTTAAGGCATCACCATGAAAAACTGTATACTTCTGATGTGTCAGTGTTTTGCTTTAGTGGGAGGCCTCTGGGTCGTGGCTGCTTCAGGTAGTGGTCCATGTTCCTCCTTACATGCAGATGCACTCTGTTTCAGCAGGTTTTTGCACTAACTGAGTTAAGATCCTGCTGCCTCTCTATTTGGTGCTTCTACTGACAAGATGAAGGTGCACCGTTGCTAGACAATGGGAGGCAGCCTCCTGTCTCCTGCTAACAGAGTCCATGCCACCACGTGTGAGCTGGGTACATGTGTTGCCTGGTCACCCATCAGGGCTCTTGTTTACGGTGCTCATTAGGGAAATGTGCTGCTGAGCCTTTGCCTAAGGAGCTGTTCCTACCTCAGTAGGAACCACCATTTGGTGGGAGCCTTCATGGCTTAGTGAAGGTACCAGGCCCTAGCCAGGTGCACTGCATTGGATATTGCCTCCCTCCATGTTTGCAGTTCCTGCAATATTTGTATGAGTCCTAGAGATGGACTTCCCTTGTGTGCAGGGCCAGGGTGATACTGGTCTTTTATGTGTTAGGTTATTAGGAGTTAAAGACGAAAAGAAGCTTTCTCTTAGGTCTTACTGCAAAGGAAGCAAGTCTTCAAGTCTTAATTTTCAGCACAGCGAATGAGAAAAAAAAATCCTCCTTAAAGAGGTTCATTCTGCTAGTATCAAAACATTTCATTGACTTCATCATATGGTTTACTTGAATAATTTATCACTGATAGAACATCTATCAGGTGAAAAAATAAATAAATTAAAAAATAATTTTTTGTAGAAAGAAAATGTATTAATAACATTTACCTTGAAAGTTAACATAATCTTCTATTCTGATCTATTTCTACTCAGCCTAATCAGCATTTTGTGATACAAAATACTTACATGAGACATTTTTCAAAAGCTCTGAAAATAATTATCCTCCAGTAGCAGTAAAAAGCCAGGCATTCAGCCAGGAATAATATCTCAGCCTGGTACCCCAGGAAATTCCTCCTTCTGTCATGTCAACCTTATTGAGGGGTGGCTTTGGCAATACTAACTGCTGCTGGTGTGAAGAGACAACAATTAACAATTATAATCACAAAATTGCTTTAAGGAAACCTCTTCCTTTTCATGCTTTGCTGGGAAGAATCTGTGTCACCTCTCTACAGCGGTTTCATCTACCTATTAACTAATATTCATATCATGACACGCTTTTCCTTCCCTCAGTTTCAAGAGGGCTCATTCAACATTGGAAGATGTGCTGAAGTGCTACCAAGCAACAGCAGACACCTGCAGAGATACAAACATACCTTATTTATTTTTCCCCAAATGAGTTTCCATGATGATCTAAACCATCTCAAATAATCTCTGCTGTCTGAGGATCCTGGGCATGTGCTCTGAAGTGATGGACAGAAAAGCTTGCCTATATGTAATATTTTTGAGCCATGAATAGACAAACTTTATAACAATTGATGTATGACAAAGTCTTTTCTCTCTTTCCCAAACAGCTAATATGCCAGAGGATTATCCAGATCAGTTTGATGAAGTAGTGGACTTTATTCAAGCCACTATTAAAAGACTGAGGAGGTCACCAGATAAACAGACTCCGATTTTTTCTAGGCGGGAGAGAAACCGTCAAAACGCAGCGACAAACTTAGAGAATTCCAGCAAGAAAGGAAGGAGGAGTCAAAAGGGCAAAAATCGAGGATGTGTCTTAACAGAAATACATTTAAACGTGACTGACTTGGATTTGGGATATGAAACCAAAGAAGAGCTAATTTTCCGGTATTGCAGTGGATCTTGTGATGCAGCTGAGACCACCTATGACAAGATTTTAAAAAACTTAACCAAAAAGAAAAAACTGGTCACTGACAAAGTGAGGCAAGCTTGTTGCAGACCCACAGCCTTTGATGATGACCTATCCTTTTTGGATGATAACCTGGTTTACCACATACTGAAAAAACATTCCGCAAAAAGGTGTGGATGCGTCTGACAGTTGCTTGCCAGAGGTGGCACCAGTTTTCCATTCCTACTACACTGCAAAGAGAGGGACCAAAGTTCCCAGGGAAATGTCTACTCAGAGTGGAGAAAAAAGGACCAAGAACACAAAATGAGGAGCCATGAGAGCCTGGGAATGGGGGGACACGAAGCAGAGTAGAAGGATGGAGACTTTTGATATCCTATGGGGATTTAGATAAAAGCTCAGGTGGAGATGCCGATGGATGGATGGTGTGCACGCTACCTTTCCTGTTTGACTCAGTCCACCATCAGTGAGACTCAATCCATGAGGAACGTGCTTAAAAACACAACCCTACCATACCACGCTGTGTTGTAGTTATGCCATGATATACCAGTTATACCAAGAAGCTTAGCAAAGAAGTAGGTTAGGAGTACCTTACTAATCCCCTGTGCCCTCAGCTCTACTGAAAGACACATTGTGCTACTGCTCATTGGAGGGCAGTTCCTGAGTGCTTAGGACAACTCCTAAGCTATAATAAGATTAACCTTGTAAGTAAGATGATATTGGGCAAATGTCAGAAAGACCAGGCTCAAGTTTTCACAAAGCAAAACAGTTCTGCTTAGTGGCTAAGTTTGGTTATTTCCATCTCGTGTTTCTTCCTTGAGTGCAGGATTTCATTTTTCTGCTACCTATGAAAACAAGTTGAGTTTTTAAGCACTTCTTCCTAGTATAGTAAGAGAAATAACAAGCCCAGCCTACACAAAATGCGTTTCTTTAGGTTTACAAAGGACTAAAGTCACTTGCGTAACTACATTTCTATTTGGTCATTGTGAGTGAGCAGAGACTACTTGATGCAATGCATCCCTTCAGAGACATAAATATACAGAAGATATTTATTGCAATTAAGTTATTGTTATTTATTACAGTTCAGTAATGAGTCTCCTTATTTATTAAAGTGTCTTTCAAAGGTGCCAAAGTAGATGGCACTTGGGGATATAGAGAGACAAAGACGTTGGGAACAACGGTCCATGCTTTTGATTGAAAGTGTTAACTTGAATGCAAAAAATCACTTACTTTACCTTTTTTTTCCTTTAAACAAAATCTTGATTATGTTCACAAAAGGTAGTGCCAAAGCCTGCAGCCCTTCTTCCTATTCAATAATCCTTTAGCAAATTTCTGCAGTCAAACATGTGCAGGAGCAGCAATGGCTCTGGACGAGTGAGGGTCGCAGAACTTGGCTCGACATTAGCAATTTGTTAGAAAAACTAATTTTAGTCATATTTTAAATGTAGCCACATTTTTTTCTCACACTTTATGCCAACTGACCTCGTATAACTATTGACAAATGGAAAATAATCACATTTAGCCTTATAATTTCTTGTTATATTTATTTAAGCTTTTCCTTCCATATTTCCATATAGAAGAGGTTAAGTTCCTCTTACTAGTTAGCCCTGGATTTAATATAGTCTGCAAGTAAACAGTTGTGTTAAATAACCAGAATGTTTTGTATAATTTGCTGAAACATTACAGGATTGTACCCATGCAGCAGAACAGTCCGAGTTTCCTTAGGACGAGGGAGGTGGTGCAGCAAAGATGTTCACACGTGACCGCTAATGCAAGCTCTCGTTCTGGAGACATTTTTTGCAAAGGAGCAGGAGTACAGGTCACTAGACATACCTGACAACTGGTGAAGCATCAACTCCCACAAAAACAACATGAAAAAAAAATTCCTACTGAAAAAGATGGTCCAGCCGTTTATCTCAAGCATGCAATGGCTCTCCATACTCATTTTGCCCCGGGCCCCTTGGGGCACCACTGAGGAAGGGTCTAGAGGTCAAAAAAGTCCAGAACAGGCATAGAAAGATGCACCAGGTATATGGCATATAATTCATCTCTGACTTTCGCTGCTTTCCTGGGCAGATGGAGGCTGGCCCCAGAGAACCACCCGCAGGGTCTGTTCTCACACTGCCAGGGAGACACCTTACCCTCTACGCTGCTCAGGGGTGGTGACACCACCAGCACTGGCATGATGTGGGTACTAAAAGCCTGCCAAGCTGAGGGTCAGCTGCGCTGCTGTGCAGCTGACGAGTGACAGCACTCAGAGGTGTACTTTCCCTGGCCCCAGTTGCTGAAAACAAAACTTGCCTCAAAGCATTTTCTGCGCAGCTTGAAGAGGCTGCAACCAAAGCAAATCTCTATGTTCAAAATACAAAAGGGTAAAGTTTGTGATTTTTTTTTAAATTTTTTTAGGGTATTGTTTTTTTCTTTTTTTTTTTTTTCTAGGTTGTTGGTTTTTTGGGGGTTTTTTTCAGTTTTCAGACCTTACTGAAGACAGGAGTGTGCTTCTCTGGATTTTTTTACTTCACCTGCAATTATATGTCTCAGTCATTTGTGTTAATCAACCAAAGTTCTCTACAGACTTTATTTTTGTACAATATTCATTTTATAACTTTTTACAAAATAAAACTCATTTCTATTGTTACCTGATTGTTGCTTGTACTTCCCCATTGTACCTCTTCTAAGTTACAGCGTTGCCCAGTTCCCAACCTGCTGCTGATGATGAGAAGCCAGTAAGTCCTCTGCAAAGTGGAGCTTTCTTATCTCACCAACATGTTTAGTGTGGATCCGTAGCTTCTTAGCAGAACATAAAGTTGTTGGGTGACTGCAATAACTGACTTGAAAATGCACGGTAAGCAGTGACAGTAATCCACCCAGTGGCAGGCTTGAAGGCTGGGGTTACTCAAGCTGTCCCTTGCCCATATGAGGCTGTAGTGTCTTCGTGGTGGCCTTGGCTATGCATGGTCGCTATTCCTGCACTTGGAGGAAATTTGCATTTTGCATTGCTAATCCAGGCGTTACATCAGTTGGACTAAATTCCATCCACTTTGGCAGTTCTTTTTCCTTCATCTTTAAACAGGAAAATAAAACCTGAAGAATTTTTTCTTCCACCATCATCACGGAAAAGATCAGGATAGGTTTTATGGCTGTGGCCAGCAACATTTTCTCAACTGTTTTGTGTTAAGTGCTGCAATTCCCATCACACATAAGAGCCCATAAACACACACAGACTTACAGGGTTCAACGCCGGACTCTGTACTCCTCAGACTTCTACAGAGAGGAAGAGGGAGCATCTGAGCAGCGAGCCAGAGAGCAGGAGATCAAACACTCTTAATGGGCAGCATATGGATGCCTTGGTTTCATTTGTGCTGACGGGGGCCATGCACGCAGCTGTATCCCAGCTGCTGGAGTGCAAAGCAAAGCTCACAAGCCCTGCCTTTGAAGCACACGGTACTGAAGGCATTCCTCCTCACATGCCACCACCTCCACCCCTTGTAGCAGAAGCCCATCAGTCCATCACAACGAGAAAAAGCTGCACACATTGTGTTTGGTATGGGAATGAATTGCAGCTTCACGTTCAGAGGAGATGGTGCACTTTCCCAAGAGTTCAAGGGAGTGTCTTCGTAAGACACAGCTGTGAGGTGCTCTGAAGTTTAATCTCCAGTCTTAGAGCACAAACCTTCTGTCTGCTCTTGCATGGACGGGGAAGCACAAAGCCAATGCAGAAGTCTTGCTTGACCTTATCAGAGGCTTTGAGTCAAGTAACAGGTGGCAGGAGCGGTATTGCTTGCATGGAGCTGTTTCACCCTCCTTCCCCAACCTTCCTGGTGAGAATGATATTGGAGAGAACAGATGGGGCTTTGCTATTTCAACTCCAGGCTCACCACTCCTGGGCTGGCACCTTCAAGCTCCTTTTCTGGTTAAAGTGAGGCTTGTGGTATTTTCCTGGCACCTTGCATGCCTTAAAGCAGCTTGAAACCTTCAGCTGGTAGATTGTGTAAAAGATTTCAAAAAGGACTTAAACTTTCATTTGTTACTAGGTAGTGCCAGCACTGGGAAACATTATGTTGCTGCTTGAGTAGCAAGGACAGCACTACCCTGGGTTCCTTCTGGATGGACAAGACATGTCCCAAACTAGACAGATTTTTTTACAAGAGAGAGGATGATCCAAACACCATAATTATTTACACTTACTCAGCACAATCAGGAGGACATTAGAAGTTTTATTACTTGACATCTTGATAAGACCTTTTTATTTCTTTTATAATTTTGTGTTGGGTTTTGTTGGATCAGTTCGCATTCTGCTGCCAGACAAGAATGGTTGGTTAGACACTTGGGACAAATTATGAACGTCTAAGGAAAAAGCAGGCATTTTAAAAGGAGGGCATATTTAGTGATGCAACTTGGAAGTCTGATCCTCAGTGAGTCCCCTTCGGCAGAAGGGATTGCAGCCATGTGCATTTCCACAGGCAGTGTCACCTACAGACAGGGCATCGAGAGAGAAACTGTCATAACAGCAGGTCCTTCTGCCATCTCTCCACACTCTCCATCCCACAGCTCTCTGGTGCTGCTTGTCTCAGTACAAACAGGATGAAATGGGCAAAACTGAGTTTGGTTTTAGGTTTTTTCACCACTTCCCGCAAAAGGGGAGAAAGGACAAAAGCAGCCAGTGCCTCGGTCTGTAGCAGCACAGGAGGAAACCAGAAGCAACCTCGATCCTTGCAGTCTGGATGGTTAAACAAAAATATAGAGGAAAATATCAGGATGAAGAAAACAAATGGAGCTGACACATTGTATAAATAGGTCTTCAAATGTCATGCATGGCTGGAACAAAGATGTTTTGTTCCAAAGCAAGAGACAGCTTGAAATGGCTCAGTAATACACATTGAGAAGTTTGCTTATTTGGAACAGAGCTCTTCTAATGAAAAGGTTAATTGTGTTGCAATGGAAAAGAAAAAAGGCATAGCAGAGGCCAGGCCTGCACTCCTCACCCTAACAAAATTTCCCACTGGTTCAAAGTGAAGACTTTCTATCACAAATATCACAGATCTGAACTACTAACATTCCAATAAATTATACAGTAGATATATTCACGGGTCAATAAGAATAACTAAATAAACCATACATTCCAGCAGCACTAATCCCACTGGCTTTTAGGCAAGTTGCAGCAGCATCCAGAGAGAAACATGGTACTCAACTCAGCCTGAAGCAGGGAAGTTTCCTTGAGCAGGCACCAATCACCAGTACTCAGGGTCGGCACCAAGACATCTTCACTTGCTATTGGCTTTTTCATTTTGAAACTGCAGCATTTTATTCACTTTTCCCAAAACGGTTCACTCACAAGTGAAGTGAAGAAATGGCAAATAACACAATGGGCTTTTGAAGGCTGCAAAGGGCTGCTGTAATTACCCACAGGGCTGACGCTTTGTCTGCAACTTCTCCAGCTTTTTGACAGCAATCTGAGCCCTTTCACATGTGGAAGTTTTCTCCTGTGCCTCAAACCCTTGATTTCCTGTCTGCTGGCACACTGGATGAGGAAAGCTCCCTTATCTGTCACCCCAGGGAAGGTACAAGCATCAGTCCCCAGTCCAGAGTTGTACACCTTATCCCCAAGTGGTCCTGGCATGTCTAAAGCCACCCACATCCTCACCAGTACTACTCCACTGACTGTTGTGGAGTTA